AATGCGGATGTTTATCGAAAGGAATAACCATCATTCGTCTTAGGTGATAAGATATGGCTACTTCGTCACAATATCAAGACCACTCGTCCTTGTGACAAGTTAAACTATTGAAGGTTAGGACCATTTTCTATTTTTACACAAATCAATCCAGTTGCATATCGTTTACATCTACTAGAGTCAATGAAAATCCATCTAGTATTCTACGTGTCTCTTCTTGAACCATACAAGACAGTGGACATACCAAGAAGACGACAAGCTCCACCTCCTCCTATAGAAATGGACAATAATGAAGAGTTTGAAGTAGAAGAAGTCTTAGATTCAAGGCGGCACCAAAATAAATTAGAATATCTTATCCATTGGCGCGGATATGGTATTAGTGAATGCACATGGGAGCCAATAAAGAATCTTACAAATGAAGCAAAGGCGGTGGAGGCTTTTCATCGATGACATCCATCAAAATCAAGATGAAAATCTTTTTTATAAAAGAAACAACATCTAGGCAAGATAACATTCTACTTTCAATTCTTGTTCATAGCTTCTTTGTAGTAGTGATGCTCAGGAGATGGAGAACCAACAACCAGTGGATTCGACTCAAGAGCCTTCATTTGCTGACCTGTCAGACAAGACATTACGATTGTCACAACCTTCAAGATGACGCAATTGAGATGAAGATCTTCAAGAACGACATGTTCTTCCTCGAATAGATGGCGAGATAGAACGCATTTGGTATCACAATTTGGGAAGGGACTCCCGATGTTTGGTGATTGTACTAGAGGTAGGAACAACTCCTAATGGTGTTCCAAATATTCTATTCGAAGGAAGTTACGAAGGCCTCAACAATGATCAAATAACTGGGTGGTCTTTCCGCCCTGGTATGGGACACTACCGATGGTTGAGAGGCCCTATCAATCATCTTCGAAGAGAACAAAGATCAGAGTATGTGGCAAATACAATTCGTCGCATCATAGATTTTTTCAACATATGATGACCGCTCCTCGTGGAACTCGTTCCTAGAAGGGGGGGTAATGTCACAGACATAATCATGTAAGCTAGTAATTACATATACAAATAGGTAGAAGTAAGTAAAAGTAGGTAAAAGTAAGTTAATTCTATAGTATTTAATATGGAAGCTTCCTGGAACTTCATAGATGTTGCTTTGACTTCATAGATGTCTTTAATTGACTTTTTGGATTAGAAACGTGGTCAACAAATTGGCCATGTGCCACACATGTTGTTAGCTTGAAGATCAAGCTAACTATGTGGTCCACACGTAGAAAAACTTGCCTTGTAAGTCAAGGCATGTGTCCTACAAAGTCAACACATATTGGAGGTCCTATAGAATGTTGCCACATAGCCCCTAGTTAGATAGTATATATAGAGACAAGAGTGAAGGCTTCTTCACTCTTGTCAACTCCTTTCTTGCTTTTAGTCTAATTTCAAGGGTCTCTAGTTTTCTTGTCTTTTGGCAATAGCCATTCCAATTTCTCTTTCAATATATATACTTGTTTATATATATTTTGTTATCTCTCTTTGAGTGAAGGCTCACTTGTCTGAATTATTTTTTTTATCGAGTTCTTGTCCTTGAGAATTACTCCCAATAGAACAACATTTGATTTGGTATATTAAATGTAGCTAATAGCATAGACATTGCATAAACATCCTCGTGGAATGTAAGAGCTGAAATACAAGTTAAAGATAATATATTATAGGATTTACTATGATATAATATAAACTGAAATATTTGAATCTAAAAGTTTGAAGAAGAAATGAACGGCCATTCCTTTTTTCTTGGCAAAGTATTCTTTTACTGGTAGAAAACTGTAATCTATGTTGGTATAGAGGTGTGGTGGAGCAATTTTAGATACAAGCATAGCTAGGAAAAAGATCATTCAACTAACAATCCTTTTTAATGGGGTCTGGACTGAATAGGAGATATTTGCCACCCTTAATAATCAACCAAGCTGAAAATGACTATTTTTAGCCACCTTCTTCTTGTAGGACCTCATAAAATCTATCCTTTAGATTCTACTAAGGCAAAGGAAGATAATCTCATCAAAAAAAATAATAGGTTCTAACTCTAGCAAAGAACTCTCTTTAGCTATAGATGATCTTTTTGATGAAGTAGACAAAGGCGTACACAAATAACACATTGGGCTTTCTATTCCAATACAAACTCACAGCCTCTCTCTTTTTCAAATAAGGACATCCTCAAATAAACAAAGACATTTGAAATAATTTCAATGGATATGGCTAATAATCTACAATAAATACAACCAAAAATAGACAACAACCTACATCAGATCCAACTTAACAAAGAATAGATGGAAAGACCAATCAAAGAGATTTTAATTAAGATGGAATATAAACAACTGAAAAAATATCTTAACTCATCCCAAATGATTCAATACCAACAACAAATTAACAAAGATAGATAAAGATGGTTTAATGTAGTGTCATATAAATTAGACAATTTCATCCATCTAATAGACACAGTTTGGGCAATCCCTTATTTTAAAACAACATCATTGACCTAGTCATTTATATAACAAAAATTCAATACATGTATAGATTCAACTATCAAAGATAGATGGTAGATGGGCATCAAACTTTGATTTAGGACCAAGACACCTGACATGACGATACAAACAAATACAACATAAGAATAATAATAAAAACTAAGATAAATTCACATCTAATTATTATAAGTATATTAATAATAATTAGAAGTAATAAAGACAAGTATTTAATGGATCTAAAAATCTAGGAATAACATGCCCAAAATGCTGTACATGACATCCAATCATTTCCAATATGTGCCCCTAGCCCTGCAAACTAATGGACAATCCCAAGTACACATGGATGGGACATACCAAATTCTTCATAACAAATACTACATGGCTTTTGGAGCATCAATAATATTTTGAAAAGGATTTAGAATTCTCCATGTCTCAGTTGGTATCACTTACCACTGAAGAATTTTATGCACTGACTTCTCTTCATTCCTAGCTTACATGGTTTGAAGGTGTTTTGGTATGTAAGGTAAGTCAAGTGTTGGAAGGACTTATAACTCTTCAAAATCATTCCAACAATCACATTAGTATTATATTGGAGTACCTTTGGAATCCTAAACCTTAGATGATTCTTTGATCCATCATGAAAACTTGGATATGGAGGTCTTGTTACATATATTGGAGAGTGTTGTAGAAAAATTTTAAAATATATCTAATAATGTCATTTAAAAAGTTTAAAAAGATTTTTTTAGGTATCTATAGCCACTACAAAGGTTTCAAAATAAAAATTAAAAATTTATAGTGAACATTATTTTTGGAGTGACTCACATGATAGAATATTCATCAAAAGAATTCATTCAAGAATGGCATAGTCATTGTATTAGGATTGGGTCAATAAAGATGACTCTTAGGTTTGTTACATTACAATGTATTTTTGCCCTTGTGTGGTCGTTGGCACATACAAAATGCACACATGTGCTCAAACAAGATCTTTGGAATGTAGCTCAAGGACACTTGGAATGAATTGAGATGAGATCAAAGTATGTAAGCAAACTATTTATGAGCACATAGGAGGTTGGTATTTACAATTTTGTACCATATCCTTGAGAAATTTCACAAGCACTAGAACAAAAGGCTTGAAAATGCATGATCACATGTATCTAATGTTGTGGAACTTTAATATGTAGAAGAAAGTTGTAGCATTACTAATGAATAAACAACCATAAAAAATAAGTTTGTAGACTTCCAATGAGATGTAATGTGACTTGAAAGTAGGATTGTATCATTGAGATGTATAAACTTCAGATTTCTCAATTTTAATTTTTTTTAATATACTTATTTTTTTTTATTTTGTTGTAATTATAGCAAGAAGATAAATTTCACTATTTGGCGAATACATAGCTTTTGAAGAATTGTTCTACAAGTTTTAGAGATATTTGGATCAATATTGGAATTGGATTATTATTCTACAAGTAGTCTTGGTAATTCATGAGTCTTTTTTTAGAATGGCATGATAATATTGATTAGAAAAGAAAAGAAGAAACCTAATAAAACATAAAAAGTAAAAGAAGTTTTAAATTTATTTTTGGAGATTTTAGTTTACTACATTTAAGAAATATTGGAAATCATGTATGTATGTTTGCATAAATATCAAGAAAATGCTTTCAAAAACCTGTAGAATTCTTGTAGCTAAGTCTTTTTAAATCTTATAAAATATTGTGACAAGTTTCTAAGTAGAATCTATAGATATAAGTGCAATATTGAATATCTCTCAAGGATTAGTTTTTTTGTATATTATATATTTTATGGATATGAGAATAATTAGAATTAAAAGAATTGATGTTAAACATGAGTTGAAATATGATTTGGTGTGGGACTTTGATAATATCTTTTCAAATGTGTAACATGTATTTGAGAATAAATGTTTGAGCTTAATCATAATATTGTTATTGGAATTCTTTTTGCCAAGTGGAGTTTAGTGGATTTGTGATAGATTATTGTTACTTAGAGAATATATTTTTTGAATTGTGAGACTAAGAAAATAGATTTTTAAAATAAATGAATAAATAAATAATTTTATTACTGTACTTTCTGTTTGTGAAAAATAAGATATGTATATATATATATATATATATATATATATACATATCTTATTTAATATTCAATATTTAGTATTTAATATATTTAATATTCCAGTCCCATTTTATTGTCTATTTTATATTTTGGAGTCTATAAAAACTTTCAATAGATGAAATATAATTTTAAAAAATTTATGAAAACTTTAAAAGGTTTTGTTCTTTAGAGGACTGGATAAAAACATCACAGGTTTAAAGGTATGGTATGTGTCTTGAGGTTGTTTAGGCATCTCAAAACAATCTTGCAAATTAATGTCATTGTGTGTGAAATGATGTTGCCTTGGGGGCGTGGGAAACCCAAGTGTGAATAGGGTTGTCGGGTCTGTCAACAGAGGCAATATTTGTTCAAAGCATCGGGAAGTGGCGATGGGGTGGAGTGGCCTCGTGGATTTAGGGTTGCTGTTCTGGTCTATGGTGTAGTGTTAGACACCGTCGTTTACTTGAGCTCGGATTTGATTTGAGGATTGGATTGAGGAGGGTGTTTCTCTCGTTCTCCGCGTCCTCCGATCAAGTCAGGGAGTATGGATGGAGCAATGCGCTGCCATGGAGATGGCAGCACGGACATGCACAAGTATGAAGACTCGTCTTCCCAGCCTACTTTGTGTTTTTTCTCAGGCACTCGTAACTTTGCAACGCTGTGCTGGAGTGATCACATGTCTGAGTAGAATCGGGATGTTGTTTGTTAGTGTCGATGAACTGGGTTTGGTTGCGGGATGCATTTGACTGAACAGGGCTGCAAGGGCTGGCAAGTGGGAGACGCTGAGAGCGCTACTTGAGGTCCTTAATTCATAACGACAAGTATTTATGAAGTTTCTGCTCAAGCTTCTGTTCACCCGTTTGTAAAACCGTGGGGTTTCTCCCTCAAATGACAATATGACGGTAGCTGGAGAAGAAAATAATTTGTTGTGTGGTGGGTTTCTTGATGAATATAGTCTGCTTAGCGCTCATGTTTTATGAGTCATTGTAGGGCAGGCTTTTGGAGATCCAAACGTCAGAGACAAGAAGTCGAAGACCCCAATTCATGAGGTGCACTCACCATTTTTAAACACTGCAACTGTTTCTTAATTCCGGCTTCTGTTCGAAATTGAGGTTGCAGAGAAATCATCAGGAGCTGTATAGGCTGGTATCCTTTCATGTAACTACATGCATGTCAAAAAAGAATCGAATTAATGGACAGAATATACATTCATCTCTTGGGAAGAGCAATGACCGAAGAGATATTGATGATAACAGAAGCTTCGCATTGGCTCCCGAAATCCTTCACAGTACCTTTGCTAGCACAAATTAACAGCGAGAACTTATTTTTGTTTCTTGGCGTGTCTCGGAATTCTACTTCAACTACCCAATATAACTGTGGGCGAATTGTTTACTCTTAGCGGTTGACTCTTATTTTTCCTCTTTTTGGCATTTCATCCTTATCGTGGATAGGCGTTGGTGTATTCAGGCATGTGCACAGGGCCATGAAGCATGTGTGAAGTTGTTATTGGATTATGGAGCACTGAGTTCAGCACATAAAACAAATGGTTTCACTCCACTACATTATGCTGCAGCTGGTGGTCACGTATCTATTGTTCGCCTTCTGATATCTAGGTTAGTGAGATACATCGCGATTTACAAGCATGCTCTCAATTACAAGTGCCTTCACTAACTTTCATCTGTCGCAAATTGCTTGCTGTGCCCCACCCTTTTGATAACAAATCCAGCGTGGTATTAGCGAGTTTTCTCATTTAGCTGCTGAGAAATTATTGAACATGAAGTACTCCCTCGCATTGGGGTTTTGTAACTGGCAGAGGTGCGGCAGTTGATGGGGGAGATCACAAAGGAGAGCGACCAATAGATGTAGCTGCTCGGGCTGGATTCGTGAGCGTTGTGGAATCCCTCCTTGAATACGGAGCTGACGCAAACTCTCGAACAAATAATGGCCGCAGCTGGTATGCCCATGTTATCGACTGTGTTATCATAATTGGAATTACCTATGCATTTAGCAATCCTCATATGTTTAACGCCAGGCAGCAGTAGGTCTTTACCATTTTTCTGGATTCAACCTGGTTGTTGTTCGATCCATCTCTCCACTCGAGCTCTGAGATATGAGCTGTCACTCTATCAGGTTCTCACGAGTAGGTTATTACAGGTGCTGCCATGCACGATTGATCTGACATTGTACGACGGAATGATAGACCACATGTTTAAGGCTACAATCTTATCTCTACTTTGGGATTGTTTGTTGAAGTTGGACCTGTTTGCTATTGTTTCGGTATTTGATTGAGTAGCTTCCTTAGATTTGTGCTTACAAATTAACATGGGCTTGTAGTATGCATACCGCCGCGTTACACGGTCACATTGAAGTGCTAAGAGTTTTACTGGATGCTGGGGGAAATCCATCTGTAATGGATAATGGTGGTGGGCAACCCATACACGAAGCAGCAAGAGGGGGCCACGTGGGTTGTCTGGAATTACTGTATTCAAGGGGTGCAGACCTAAGTGCTCGTGACGCTAGTGGATGCACTCCTCTTCATTGTGCTGCATCAGCTGGACATGTGACGGCAGCTTGTTGGCTTGCTGAGGTGTTTCTTGGATCAATTGCACCCCATTCTGTTCAAAGATTTGGGAACAGTTAGCTTGTCTTTCTAAACATCCTGATTGGGTCGAGGAATAGAGTTTAGCTCAGATGTTACTGTGTTAAACATTTTATAATTTTTTGAAGTGTTCTGAACTCCGTGTTCACATGTGGCTCTGCTGGCTGCACAGAAGGGTGTTGACGTGGAAGCGAAAGATTGCAAGGGTTCAACTGCCCTATATTGGGCCGCTAGCAGGGGACAGTTAGAGATGGTACTATTTTTGATTAAGGTGGTAAAAGCCAACCCGTCAGCTGCAAATATGTACCGTTCAACTCTCCACGTTGCAGCAGGTTATGTCGCGGCTTCTATTCACTTTTCTTCAAGCTTATCTAGAGTCTTCTCTTATTGAAATTTTTGATAAAAATGAAGGCTGTCTTGCTGACAATTTACAGTGCTGAATATACCTTGTTATTAGAAAGAAATGAACTTCCGCAGACCTTACTCTCTCAGATCTTCACCAGCTTAAATACCGTGTCGTTCTTTTAGGGTTAAGCTCTAGTCCGATCTAGTGCAAAATCATATTGACGCGACTCTGTGTGGGTTGTTACAGGATGGGGACATGCAGAAATATGTAAACTCCTCCTCAAAGCTGGGGCGGATGTGAATGCCAGAGACAGAGATGGCCTGACCGCGGTTGATGTTGCCAGAAATTCCAATCACTTTCCTGAGCTAGCGGAGGTATTTTCAACATAAATATAACGGGAGTACTTTCTATACCAACCGTTACCATGGAAATACATTGTATGGATAATAACATTACACTCAGTGGCCAACTAGAGCTTAACGCTAAAATAAGTACTTAGAGAATTTGGTGATTAACTACCCTGTACGGCCTCAGCTTTTGATTCGATACAGCCGCTAATGAAATAGCCGAAATTATCCATGTCTGTTTGAGGCTCTGTTTGAGGCTCTGTTTGAGGTGCTCCTAATCCCACCACAGCTTTTGCTATTGCCACCAAACCTTGATCTCACAAGGTTTTTTTTGTTCAGTATTATTGAACCAGTTCAATCAACAATTAGTTTGCTACAATCCTACTTTTAAGTCGCATTACATTTCATTGGAAGTCTACAAACTTGTTTTTTATGGTTGTTTATTCATTAGTAATGCTCCAACTCTCTTCTACATATTAAAGTTCCACAACATTAGATACATGTGATCATGCATTTTCAAGCCTTTTGTTCTAGTGCTTGTGAAATTTCTCAAGGATATGGTACAAAATTGTAAATCCCAACCTCCTATGTGCTCATAAATAGTTTGCTTACATACTTTGATCTCATCTCAACTCATTCCAAGTGTCCTTGAGCTACATTCCAAAGATCTTGTTTGAGCACATGTGTGCATTTTGTATGTGCCAATGACCACACAAGGGCAAAACTACTTTGTAATGTAACAAACCTAAGAGTTATCTTTATTGATCCAATCCTAATACAATGACTATGCCATTCTTGGATGAATTCTTTTGATGAACATTCTATCATGTGAGTCACTCCAAAAATAATGTTCACTATAAATTTTTAATTGTTATTTTGAAACCTTTATAGTAGCCATGCCATTTTTGGATGAATTCTTTTGATGAACATTCCATCATTTGACTTACTTCAAAAATAATGTAAACTATAAATTTCTAATTGTTATTTTGAAACCTTCGTAGTGGCTATAGATACCTAAACAAATCTTTTTAAACTTTTCAAATGACATTGTTGGATAAATTTTAAAATTTTTCTACAACACTCTCCAATATATGTAACAAGACCTCCATATCCAAGTTTTCATGATGGGTCAAAGAATCATCTAAGGTTTAGGATCCCAAAGGTACTCCAATACAACACTAATGTGGTTGTTGGAATGATTTTGAAGAGTTATAAGTCCTTCCAACACTTGACTTGCCTTGCATACCAAAACACCTTCAAACCATGCAAACCAGGAATGAAGAGAAGTCACTGCACAAAATTCTTCAGTGGTAAGTGATACCAACTGAGACATGGAGAATTCTAAATCCTTTCTAAAATACTATTGATGTTATGAGGAATTTGGTATGTCCCATCCCTATGTGCTTGGGATTGTCCACTAGTTTGTAGGGCTAGGGGCACATACTGGAGATGGTTGGGTGTCATAGAGAGCCATCCAATCCATTTGTTCACAAGAGCAATGCTGAGAGGCAAAGTGAGGTGTGCCTCATGAAATCCCAGAAAAGCAAAAGATATTTTGGGCAGCTTTTTTAAGTATGCAAAGTATTCCCTGGTTAAGGTTCTGGTCAAGGAGACCGCAACGATAACAAGGGCAATGCTTAAAGGATGAGGCGTAAACATGGAAGTTAATCATTGTACTTAATTTCATATTGTTTGAGTAGTTCCGTTGTCGGGATTCGAATCCGGGTCGCTTGGATGAGAGCCGAGTATCCTAATCGTGAAATCTCGACCGGAGTTAAAAACAAGTACCAAAGTGCATTACAAAAGTGCCTTGATACGTGTAGCGCTACCATTGGTCTTCGTTGGCATGTGCCATTCCTGAGATTTAGATCCATTGCATGCCTATTCTTATATCTTTAAGTTAAGATTGATAAATTGGTACTAATTGAAAACGGTCTCACCTTAGATTTTATTAGTATTCTTACACTATAGATATTTGTGTTATCATCTTGAGTATCTTCGTCCTAGGTCGAAGTACTAACGTCTGTCTGCCATCCATCTTTGAAAGTTGGCGTTATGCAAGTCCTGACCTATGTCTGCATAAATTTCTAGGGCAGTAATGCTGCCTCAGAACGATAGGTTGCTTCGGGCTGAGTCTACTAGGTGGATGAGATCTTCTCGTCCATATGGCATTGCATCTCGGTCCAAATTGTATCAAAGAGCCATAATCTTTCATCTCCAGTCATGGTTTGCGAGGTATATGATAACACACCACATTTAGCTACCATTGTTCGAATGATTCTGACATGGTGGTGGTTACCTCGTGGTAGCAGTTGTAGTCGATCGTTAATGGATTTGATTTCCTCTGAAGGTAGGACAATATAGACTTTACAAAACCACTCTCTTCCGTCTGTTTTTTGTATATGGTATATGGTATCAATACTTGAGGTTGTGAGTGTTATCCACTCGCCTGTTTTCAGAGGAATTTGAGAAGGAGGGTCCCAAGGAATAGTCTGTTTAAGTTTTGCCCATTGTATGGTTGTTGTGCGTGAGCTTGTAGCTAACTTGATGAAGTTTTCCGTGTGTCACCATCCTGTTGGCTGAAATACCACATCTTTAATCTAAAAAACACCTCTCTTCGCCCATGTATAAAATCTAGAATATGCTTCGATGCTAAAGAGGGTGCTAAAAGCTTGTCGAATCAATGTATAGCAGCTGTCTAAGGACCTCCGTTGGGTGCGCCGGAGCAATCTGTTCTAGGCTAGATTTTGTTGAATTCCAAGATTGAAACATTGCTCGCCAGCGCGGGGTGGATCTTGCAAGCACTGTTTGGCTTGCGTTGATCCAATGTATGTGTCTGGGCCAACTTCCTGCCCCAGTGGATTTTGTACTTCTTAGATTATGTCTCGCAAAGACTTTCCACTGTTCGTATCCTGATTGAAGACTCCGAATTACTAATTTTATCATTAGCGCATGGATCTGAAGTTTGGGATCTAGTATTTTAATCCCTCTCAAGGCTATTGTTTGAATCAAGAGTATCCAGCTTAGCTTTGCCCTCGTTTTCTTATCCAGCTTGGCTCCCCAGATGAAGTTCAGTGTGAGTGTTCTAATTGTTTTGAAGGTAGTTTTTAAGGTTGCTGAACAAGAGCATAGAAACCAAATTATGGCTAATATTGTTTGATTTGCAATCATGAACCTTCCGACCAGGGATAGATTTTTTGATTCCCAAACTGAGAGGCCTGCAGTCAAGCTTTGGATCACTTTATTAGCGATGACTTCTACCAGTGCTAAGGCCCTAATTGAGAATCCAAGGTATTTGGTGGTAGAGCCAGGTGGTAACCAGTTAAGACCCAGATCTAGTAGCCACTACAACGAGCAGGGTTGTCTTGATGACCAGATTCCATATGATTTACTCCAGTTTATTTTAGCGCCATTCCCTTTGGAGTAGATATTCAGTATTTCCATGGCAATATCTATATTATGCTCTGTTCAGTGGATGTAGAGTACCAAGTCATCAGCATACATTTGGTTTGTTGTTGTTTTACCATCAGGTAGAGTGAATCCTACCAAGGATCGATCAGGATCCGAGAGTATGTGCCCTAACACATCTCCAACAAGAAGGTATAGATAGGGTGCCAACGGGCACCCTTGTCTCACAGAACGTTGGAGAGAAAACTGCTCCCTAGGTACCCCGTTTAGCATAGTTCTAGCAGAGGCCTCAGAGTATAATGTCATAACTAGTTCGACCCAGTCCATGGGAAATTCCATGTGTAACATGGTTTCTTTCAAGAAATTCCAACTTATCCTATCATAGGCTTTTTCAAAGTCTAGGAGCAGGAGGAGGAGATCTTGGTTGCTTTCTAAAGCCCAGTCTATTGAGGATTGGGCCATAAAGATGTCGAAGATGCAGCGTCCCGGTACAAATGCAGTCTGAGAGCTTCGTATCCAGATAGGGAGATAGGGAATCATTCTATTAGCTATCAGATTGGCCTTTACTATGTCGTCTCACGTGTAGAGTCGAATGTAAAAGGAGTCAACATAACGTTGCATCTCCTCTTGGTTGGTGAGTGATCTTTCGTCGTCTATGAGTTCACTAATCAAGGTCGGTTTCTTATATCCCGTATGGAATTCGAAAAATTCCCAGTTGCATTGATCACCAATGCGTGTCCATTCAGACATATGTACAGACATATGCTCGAATCCAATTTTTGTCTGAGTTCAGTGCCATAGCCCGAGTCCATTCTGCCAGCAACAATGTCTTTTCGTTTTCATCATCCAATAGATGCCTATTGAAGGCTGGTGGGTTTTGTGTTCTAAAATGTTGCTGATGAATTTTTAAGACTACAGGTGCATGGTCTGAGACGTGAGTAAGGGAAGGCCAGATAGAAGTCTGCCCTCCAAGTTGGATAAGAGTATGGTTTAAGTAAAATCTATCTAAGCGGGAACAGATCATTCCTGGGGCATAACGTCTATTATCCCAGGAGAACTTCTTCGTGGATAGTTTCCTAAATTCGTCCGCTCTAAAACTATCCTGAAGGCCTAGGTGTACCTGTAAGTCTCCCCAGGCTACTTGTTCTCTTTGGCCACGGCCAATGGTGTCTTGCCCTCCCTGTTTATCATCTAATTGATCTATCATATTGAAGTCTCCGCCTAGGATCCAGTGGGCTTCAGGCAGTGGATAGTGTCGTATTTTAGTCCATAACCTTGATCGAGATCCAGTACAGTTAAATGCATAAATATTTATAATCCCGATTATCAGAAAGGGTGTCCATTGGAGGGTAACGTACTGAACCCTTCCTTTCATTATGACCCCATGTTCGCAGATGAGGCTTGCTATTTTTTCTGGTAATAGTATCCCCGTGCCCCCCTTAAAGCTATCTTTATCAGCGCAATAGGTTGCCTCATTCCAAAGAGAGACGCCTCTTGCAAATTCAATCTGTTTTGTGTGCCTCTTCCCTTCTTCTAGTGATAACTTGTGCTCTTGAACCAGAATTATTTCTGGTTTGGGTTGAGATTTCTGGAAAAAATCTCGTATCTCACGTCGCTTACGGACTCCAATGATGTCGCGTCCTAGTCCTTGTACGTTTAGCGACGTGAGAGTAAGGTGGTTATTCATCTATCACGTCCGGCTGTGGGGTTGCGGACTTCCCTTCTATATCATCTTTATGATTCAGTACAGTAGTATTGTGCTGCTGTGTCGTTGTAACCCCTGGAAAACTATAGCCCATGAAGGCTGGTAGCTCGTTTGAATCTAAGTCTCAAGCTTGTGTTCTGTCCTGTGTGAATCGCCTGAGGTCATCCTGTATGGTCATGGGGAGTACTTCCCACTGTTGCCTGGTGCTGTTACGCGGTGCACAGACTTCCTCATCGTATTTGATTAAAGCTGTGATTGTGCATAAAGGTGG